TGATTGTGATTCAAAGATTGTTATATTGTAGTTTGAAGATGTTGTGGTCATAGACCAAAGATGATTAATTATTTTGTTAATAATGGTTAAAAGATTATTCAAAACATGCTTGAAAATGGGTCGATAATGATTAGATCATTATTTGCATTTTGCTCCATCATTGTTATAGTAGTAATTATTTGTATGCCGACCATGGTTGTAATGCAGGTTGATATAACAATAAGCTTAATATGATAATTATAGCATGACACATCATTTATTTCAAGAGATGGAAGATAAACAACTCAAACACTATAACACAATACTAATTACAAAATTTATATAAAAAAGAAGATAACATATTCATCACAACATTTACGATAACCCCATAATGGATTTCAATTTAGAAGTTTTGTAAACTAGAATAAGTTAAAAATAAGTGGGCACAAACAATTATTTTTACATTAGAAAACAAAAAGGGACTTTGGCATTTCTATATGTGACGTGTGATTTTGAAAAAATGTATATTTGAAATCAAATATATCAAAAGATGTATTGCATATCCTTTACAATCTCTACTGCAAATAATGTATAAGTTAATCATTATGCCCGAAGACTATTTACTTTTCAAATACAATATACGACTAATAAAAAACAATTAAATAGGTTGTATTGCTACTCATAGGGAACTCATCTAGGATAGCCCTCCTCTACTTTCAAAAAAGTTTAGAAGAGAAATTCATGTCACTTTCCAATTAACACCGACTGCTCAAGCAATATAAAAATTTAAATTTATGACTATAAATAGTGTACTATAAAACTAAAGTAGTATGAAATAATATTTGCTAGTTAGAGATAATTATGGTTATTCTTCAATAAATAAATAATTAAAGGATATAATCATAATTGATAAACATAATATTTTATAAGAAAACAAGCTATATCCTTCAAGTATCAAAACATTTGATGCATTGTGCTAGTCGATAATGTTTGCCATGAAATTGCTTGCTTTGCTTTCATTCTCTTTCTCATCATGTTGGGCATTGTCTTATAAACTTCATAATATTTAAACAAGCTTCGCCAATTTATATCATTTGCCTAATCCCCCACCATTCGCCAAAAAAATTATTAAAAAAAATTGGAGTCCATTTGAAATTTATTTATGTGAAAAATAAAATTTAATAAATTTTCTTCTAAAATTTAGAATACTTAGTAATTTTGTTCCGTGCGTGAGTGAGTGAGAGAGAGAGAGAGCACTTGCAATTATTGAAAGAACAACCAATCTAGGAGAATAGAGAAACATCCATTGAAACCTAAACCCAATGGAAACATAAAGGTGAGAACACAAAACAACCAAATCTATACATTAAATGGCAACTCACACACACTATAAACTTCAAGTTAGCAACAATAGTTTCTTTTAAACACCTCCCCCACCCCCCAAACTAATACAATATTGTAAAATTCCAAATATTAATTTACTCCCCTACACGTTAAAAATAAAACTAAATAAAATTTACAACAAAAAGCGGCAGCAGCGAAAGAAATCACCTGCATCCACCATCACCATTGAACGGCAAGAATCACCTCAGCAGCAGCCCCCATAGCTTCAACTCCCCGCTTCCTCAGCAGAGCAAGAGCAAGCTCATCCTGATTCCAGTTCCTCAGCCCTCTGCTCAGCCTCTTCACCACCCCCAGATTCACCTCCATCACCCAACTCGCCGCACATTCCACCACCAACCCCAAAAACCCAGACACATAAGCCCTCCACAGAGACAAATCACACCCAAGCGAGATCTTCCCATCCAGCGCGCTTGCCAGGAACTCCATGTGAGCTTCTATGACCCTCGGCCTTCGCTTCGAAGGCGACGTCTTGTCGATTCCCCACGCAAACATGCCGCAGAGCAGAGTGAAGTAGGCCAGAGCATAGCCTCCCAAACTGTAAACTAGACCCCCACTGTTTCCTTCCTCATCCAACTCATGAACAGAAAGGAACCAT